GTATTTGTACAGGATCTTCAGGGTCTCCATGGCGCGGATCATGGCCTGCATGGCGGTGAAGATGTTCTGATACACGAGCTTGGTGAAGCCCCGCTTGTCCTCCTCCGAGTAGCCCGCCCCGTGGATGATGCGCATCTGCTTGATGAACGTGCTCTTCCCGCTCTCGCCCGTGCCTGCAGAGCAGGGTGCGTGAGGACAGGCCGGAGCCAAGGCCGGGGGCCCACCCGGCAGAGGAGGGCCCACGGGGGAGTCAGAGCCCAAGAGCCCAAGGGCCCAAGGGCCCAAGAGCTCGGCGCTCGGGGCGGGCGTGGGATACGCGTGGCCGGCACACAGCTGATCTGGGAGGCGCGTCCCCCGTCTTACCTCCCTCGTGTCCCCAAGCATACGACCCTGCCACACGATGGGAAACTGGGGCTGGGGGGCTGGCGCCTGCGATGCGTCCGGCACCGAGGTACGACACGGGCAGGTACCCCAAGCGTCCGGCCCAGCCACCTGGCAGGGGTGACTGGCCTCCGTGAGCGCTTGCCGGGTACGCTGGGTCTGGTGCCCCAGGGAGGCACGGGGCCATGTCTCCGCCACATGCCACCGCCCCTGGACTCTCAGGTGACAAGCCACTCGTCCTCCAGGGCCCCCACGGCCGGCCGGCCCCCCAGACCTTCCCACGCCCGCCGTGGACACCAAGCGTCACGTGGCGACATCTCCGCGGGCCCCCGACCAGGGGCCCCACCGAAGCCGGCCTTCCTTTGGGTCAAGAGTCGGGTATCCGCACAGAAGTCTGGACGCTCTAAGGACCGAATATGTCCCCACAAAGGTCCCCGAAAGCTCCTTCCCCCTTAGCCCTGAAATCACAAACCCACCCAGCGTCACGCCGCCTGCTGAGCGCTCCACGCTCACCCGGAGCAACCGCAGCACCAGGAGTCCAAGCCCCGTGTCCCACGCCCACCCAGAAGCCACGCCAAACCCGGCGTCCGCTCCCTTCTCCGGCCCGCTGAGCTGGCACGCACAACATCAGCCCCGGGGTCTCCCTTCTCCCCCGTAAGCACAAGCGGCCGCGGGGCTCACCGGGCTGCTCCAGGGCAGCACGCTGGCCCCCGCCTCAGCCTCCAGGATCAAAAGGATCGGAGGAGAGCCAGCTGGAAAGGGGCTACGTGGCCACCGCACCCTCATCCCGGCCCCACAGAGCCCCGGACCGGCACGCTCTGATCTCGCCGCGGCACAACGCAGCCGGGGCTCCCCTCCTGCGTCGGCCTCGCACCCCCAGGTGGAGGGGGCACCCCACACTCAGGGCCAGCCACTGCAGAGGCTGTTAATGCCCACGGACCTCCACGACGCCCCCTTCCCGAGGGGGAGACCGAGGCCCCGGCAGCGAGCGCAGGCCGGACTCCGTGACTCACTTGCAGCCGACAGAGGACAGATGACGGCGCGTCACTTCCGAGACTAGGTCCGCACCGCCCGGCACCACTGGCCGAGGGGAAGGGGGGGCACCACACCGAGCACGCTCGAGCGGCGCTGGGCGGAGAGGCCACGGGGGGGGGGACCGCAGCCGGACGTGGCCGACACGTGCTCTGCAACCCATGAGGGACCCCAAACCAGGGCCACCCAGACCCCGGACCCCCAGAGACTAAGTCCCGGAGTGACGTGATCACACAGCAGAGACAACCTGTAACTCCTGAGAGCGCGACGCCTGAAACTGCTGTCTGACGACCCTCCACGGGACCCACTCGCAGACCGAGGCCCCAGACCCGCCCCACCCACTGCTCAGGCTTATTTTCACCGCTCTGGGTCGGTCCACGCACCTGCCGCGCCGTGGCCCGTGAGGCGATCCGCGCTCCACAAAGCCCCGTGCCCTGGGGGTGGACAGCCCTCCCTGCACGCAGAGCCGTGGCCGCTGCCCGAGTCGGGGGCTCTCTCTGCAGGTGTCTGCGGCCGGCACCCTCCGCAGCCCAGGAGCTTCCGCAGACCAGTCCTGCGGGCCCCGCATGTCCACACTGTCCTGCGGCCGGGAGGCCCTGAGCCACTATCTGAGTGACTGACCCCACTCGGGAGACCCGAGCCCCTAATGAGACAGCACGAAGCGAGGCCTTGGCTGCCTCTCTGGTTCCTTCATCAACTGCCTCGGATCTGCCGCGGGGTAAGTGAAACGACCTCGGGTCCCCTTGGGTCCGTCATCAGGTAACGTGGTTACCCGCCCGCCCTCCTCCGTCCACCCCCCTTCAAACAATTCGCCTCTGCTGTGAAAGTGACAGGAGGCCACCTGCGTGCCCTGACCGGCCCCCCGCCCCTCGGCGAGGGTCCCACACTGCTCCCCCTCACCACACACCGCGGGGAGGGGTGTGCGTGCTAGGAACGCAGTTTCTCCCGTGCCTTCCTCCTGGCCAGCGCCTGTCCCCTGGGCGCTGCTGACCCCAGGCCGACTCACTCTCTGGGGGGCGACCCGGGCACTGTGGGGGTCGCTGTGGGGGTCGGGCAGCATCCCCGGCCGCACCCGCTCGATGGCAGGAGCCCCCCAGTGTGACAACCACAGATCCCCAGACACAGCCCAGTGACCTCCAGGGGGCAGGACTGCCCCGAGAAGCCCTACTTTTGACAAAAACGCTGCTGCAGGAAAACTGCCCGGCTGGTCTGCTCTGGTCTGTTCGGGAGGCTCGCTCCCAGGAAACAGCTAACCAGGTACCCGCGTTACAGCCGCAGCCCCTGACGCAGCCCCGCAGGTCAGCCCGACGTGCAGACACGGCAGGTCGCACGCCGAGGCCACAAGGCACCGCCCCGAGGGCAGCACACGCGGGAACCTCGGGACGGGAGAGGCCAAGGCCACGGCTCCCACAAGAGGCGGGGGGGGATGGGGGGGACCACGGGAGGGGCCTGTAGACCGCACCGTGTGCAGCCGAGGACCGACCTCACACCGGCTCCTTAAAAATGAAGGCAAGGGGTGCCTGGGGGCCCCGTCGGTTAAGCTTCCAAGCCTTCATTTCGGTTCAGGTCATAACCCCACAGTTCGTGAGCTCAGGCCGCAAGCTGGGCTCCACGATGCTGACAGTGGGGGCCCTGCTGGGGATTCTCTCTCTCCCCCTCTCTCTCTCTGACCCTCCCCCACCTGTGCGGGCGCTTACACACATGCACACGTGCTCTCTCGCTCTCAAAATATATAAATAAGCTTATTTAAAACATTAAAAAATTGGGGGACGCCTGGGTGGCTCAACTGGTTAAGCGTCCGACTCTTGATTTCGGCTCAGGTCATGATCTCATGGCCGGGAGTTCAAGCCCCACATCAGGCTCTGCATTGACAACACGGAGTCCGCTTAGGAGTCTCTCTCTAACACTCTCTCTGCCCCTACACTGCTTGGGCGCTCTCTCAAAATAAGTAAACTCGGAAAAAAAAATAAATTAAAAACAAAATGTGTAAAAAAAAAAAAATCAAAAAATTTTGTAATTAAAATTACAGAACAAAAATAAAAATGAAGGCAAAAGAGGGAAGCAGCCCCCCATGGAGGCTCCGGGGGCCGTACACACACGTCCACACACACGTGTGCACACCCGCACATGTACACAAGGGCACACGAGTGCGCACACCCACACCCACGCCCACGTCAATCAGCACAACATACTGCTGTGAGCCCCGGGCGGGGGGGGGGGGGACGGGGGACAGGAGGTGAGGCAGGTGTGCCCGTGAAGGGGCCCTCGATACCGAGCCAGAGCAGCCTCACATGTGGTACGGAGCCGGGCTGAGGGAGGACAGGGGGTGGCAGGGACACTCTCCGTAAAACCGAGATATAAGCAGGACGTCAGGGAAGCCTGAAACACACAGTCAGCTCCCGGAGAGGTCGGGGGCACCGGACAAGCTGCGTGGCCGAGGTCACACGGTCCCCACCTAGCCCTGCTGTCTAGTCTGGGAACGCCCCCCCACACGGCGGAGCAGCCACAGCAAAGACCGAGGCTGTGGTCAAACTCCAGCAGAAGCGAAGTGCACAGAGACAACGTGAGACGATGTGCCAACTACCCTGATGTGAGATAACGCGTTAACTGACCCGATTGCAGCAATCATTCTGTGGTACGTGAGCGCATCGAATCATCAAGCTACACACCTTAAACCTGCTCAGCATCGACATCGCTCACGTGTCAATAAAGCCGAGGGGAAGAAAGACGCAAAAGGGTCCAGCATGGCCGACAGTCCCCATCTGCCTGGGACACGGGGTAATCAGTGACCCTGCCCACGGCAGCCACGGAGAAAGGAGGGAACGGAGAGAAAGGCAGGTGTGGACAGGTGAGGACCTCAGAGAAAAATGCCACGTATCGCGTGTGGCGTACACTCTGGGCCTACGTCAACGGAGCAGGAAGCCTCCCAGGCCCGGTGCCGCAGCACAGCAGACGGGAGCCAGCAGGGCCCTCTGCCCTGGCACAGGCCAGGCCCACTGCCCAGGAGGCGCTGGGCCACCGCAGCGTCCGGGAGGGAGGGGAGGGAGGGCTGGACGCAGGGGACCAGGCTCCGTGCAAGACTGAGCGGGCCGAAGCAACCCAGGCTCGTTTTGCACATGCCCCGTTTCCGGGGCCAACTGAGCCCCTGCCGTATCTGTCGTCACGTAGCGCCTGGAAGCTGGGACTGGGGCCTGCGACAGAATCCCTGGCCCCGGGAACTGCCACACACCTGACCCGATGTGCACCTGCCCACAAGCGTCTCGGAGGCCAGGCCTGCCTGGACCTCACGGCTGAGCCCGTCTGGAACCAGCCGCTCACCCAGCCCCGCGCCATGGTCGACGCCCCGGGTTCCACTCAGCCCTGCCCCCCTCACCTCCCACGGGGCTCTCTCCTGCCCGACCCGCCGCCCCGCTCAGTCTCCAGCCTCCGGTGCAACCTGGCTGGCCCACGCTCACACCCGCCCTGAAAGACATCTGGTTGCACGTGCCCTCCTGGCTCAAAACCTTCTGGCTGCCCACCAGGGAGGGAAGGCCCCACCTCGTGCCCAAGCGTGTGACACACCCAAGACCGGGCCCCACTCCCCCACGCAGACTCGCCTACCGCGCCCCTCCTCGCCCCCAGCCACGCAGGCACAGCTGCCCCGGACCCAGGAGCTCCAAAGTCGCTCGCTCCGACAAAGACCGGTGTCTTCACTCCAGCACCCACGTGTGACCTCCTGGAACTTTCCTACAGCCGCCGAGAAACGGCATCGGCCCGGAGGCCCCCCACGGCCCCCACGTCCAGGCAGGTGGTTACAGCGGCCCAGCCGTGCTGCGGAGCGCACTCAGAGCCTAGTGGGAACCCCCGTGGACGCAGGGTGAGATCAGTGGCGGGGGTCCCTGCGGTGGGGCGCCCTGGGCCGAGTGATGAAATCACACCGCCTCCCTGGAAGGAACCGTGCCGGCGCCAGGTCCTAGCTGGGGGCAGACCCCAAGTCCACGACCGTGGGCCCCTGGCCTGCCTGCTGCTCATTATTTCAAGGAGATGTCCGTGGGCACTTGTGCCCCCAGGGGACATAAGCCGTCCCCAGTGCGACTGGAGCCTCCTTCGCAGAAACGCAACCTCAGGTCTTCCTAGAAGTGCCCTCGGCCCCCTGACACTCCACCCCTTCTCGCTCCAGACGATGCCACCCCAGTTATTCATGCGGCGGGGGGGGGGGGGTCTGCCCAAAGCCGCCTGCCTCCAGCCCCCGCCCCCCAGGCCAGCTCACGGAAGATGCTGCACAAGCTTTTTGTGAATGAACAGAACGAACTTGGCCCCCATCCAACGGGCTGGCTCCGCCAAGCATCCCCCGCGGGTCCTCCTCATCCCGGTGCCGGGCGGGGGACTCGACTAGTTGTTAACTCAGGGACAGGGAGCCCCTGGGGGGCAGCCCAGCCTGGCGCCTGCCCCACAGGATCAGATGGGACGCAGCAGGACCGGGAGCCCGTGGACACCCCCCGGGTGCGCTCTGACGCATCCCTGGCAGGAGGGCCGCATCTGACCCACGCCCAGCTGAGACAAGTTAAAGAAGAGGGAAGAAAGTGGAAGCCAGATTTGGAGGAGATGCCGCTGTCCACCCTCACTAGGGACCGAGCTCTGGGGGATGGGCAGGGGGTGGGGGGCGAGGAGGAAGGAAGTGTGAGCCCTAGCCCCAGACGGGCGGGAAAGGGACCCAACGCCGTCGGGGCCAAGGCCTAACAGGCAGGAAGCATGGGACCGCTGAACCCTGGACCCCGGGGGCAGGCCGCCACGGTTCCGGCTTGTGGGCAGTGAAGCCGGGAGCTCCTGGGACTGCGGGGAGACCACGCGAGAGCACCCCTGCGACCTGGGACTCCCGGATACCCCTGGGACCTCAAGCTGTGCCAGCAAGTCTGATATCAGAGACGGGACGCTGACCTTACCCGGGAGGACAGAGACACTGTAAAGCCCTCGAGCAGCTGAGGATGGCAAGTCAAGCCCACTCATTCCTTCGGTGACACCACTGTCCCCACATCCCCTCTGGCGAGGCGCAGAGGGATACACTCTGGAGGGTCACACAGCCAGGGACCGTCGGACCTCCACAGCCTGGGGCCATCTGACCTCGGCGTTGGGGCGGAGCGCTCGTCGCTCGGGTGTGGGGCCCAGAGAGCGAGAAGACACCAGTGTGCACCTCGATGACGAGGGAGAGGGGGGAGGACACCCCGGGGCTGGGGCCGCGGGGCGCAGACGCCGGGCCGTGACGTCGGTTGTTCCTCCCAGCCCAACGGTGGGACAGCTGTCCCTGCCGATGTTGGTGGGCGTCCTTCACCCCACACGTGTCACTGCGCCCCCGCTTTTGCCCCCGTGTGCCAAGTCCTACTGTAGCCCTTCCTGGGGCACCGAGGTACCCAGGACCCTGTGAGCCCCCAGTCCTGCCCAGCCCCCCATCCAGCCCAGCTGGGGAAGAGGGACGGGGCCCGCACAGCTCACCGACACCTCCACAGAGGCTCGGAGGACAGGCCAGCTGGGCAGAGATGGCGAGAGCCTCCCGTTTACGCTCCTGCCCCAAGGGACTCTGGGAGTGTTCTAACCTGACACCTCCTGTCCCTCTCAACATGATGCCCCGGGGCCAACACGAGGCCAGTTCCCAGGGGACCGGCCGGAGCTGCCCCTTCAGAGGAGTCTGCGAGTGCCCGGGGCACAGAGCGTCATCCAGCTGCCAGGGCTCAGGAAAGGTAAGGAGGAAAGGCAGTGAGACGGTGAGTCCCCGTGCTGCAGGACAGGGTGGCCCTGCTCAGGGGCGGAGGGAACTGCCAGCCAGGTGGACGGTGTGGTCGAACAGACATGAGATGGCGGCCCCCGTCTGTCCCTCCCCGCCACCCTTACTTCCGATTTCCAGAAGACAATGCCGAGACCGGGAGTCACGTAGAACAGAAACCCCACCCCACACCTGCCGGCCGGGTGCTCAGGGGTGGGGACAGGTGCCTCCCAGGGCCGTCGCAGCTGCTTTCATAGGGGACGTGGTGCAAAGTGCCCAGGAGGACGGGCAGCGACAGGATCAAAGGGCTCCCTCTGCCTGCCGAGCACCTGCTGTGTGCCAGGGGCCTCAGTGGCACCATCACGCTTAATCCTGGGACAGTCATTCCCATCAGACAGAGGAGGAAACCGAGGGCGGGAGCCGTGGTCCCGCCCCAGAGCCAGCGCCCCCCGACTGCTCCGAGCCGGCTACACAGGGAGCCCTCAAAGCAAGCCCCCCACACCCACCAGCAGGAGCCCCCGAGGAGGGTAACCATGAGCTGTCCGCTGGGGTCCCCATCCGTTCACATCGGAGCAGAGGGCCACAGGTGAGATGGCATCGGGCCCACCTGAGCAGGGAGGCTCGGGTCCCCAAGGGCTGTGGTGGCAGCACCAAGTCACTCCCGTCCCTCTTCCCTGGGGGATGTGAATTCCGTTAGCAAATGGAAGTCACCGGCCACCGTTCCTGAGACTGCAGGCTCTGCACCGGGGGCCGGGGTGGCGGAGACCCGAAGGTGGGGAGCAGCAGCGGGAGCAAGGACGACACCGCACGGCGACTGAGTGGCCGTGAGATGGGACCCAGACGCGGGCCGGATGCCCCACAGGGGACAGATACGGTGGCTGCCCCGGAAGACAGGCACCGGGACCGTGGGCACAGGAGCTACAAACACCTGCGAGAGGCTGCACACCTGAGGGCTGGGATGGCGGTTCTGTGAGCAGCCCGAGCCCACGGACCCCAGAGGCTGGCTGTCCTAGGCTCCCGGGCCGCCCTGCCCGCCGGGACAGCCGTACCCGCAGATGGGGCCCCTCCTCCCGAGGGCAGTGGGTCCGGCTCAGTCCACCCACTCAGTCCACCCGGCGTGGCCCGGAGCCCCAGACCGGACCCGCCCGCCCCGGCTGAACTTTGCACCGGGCACCATCTGGGACCGAGGGGGACAAACACACCTCCCCTCCCCCTCCCCGGAGTTCTGTAAGCGCCAAACGCCAGGCACCACGAGCGGCGATGCCCGTGGCCGCGCTCCTGGGGCTGCACCGGGGAGGGCTCCACCACAAAAACATGAAAGTGAAACCTCTTGCGGTTAAATATCTGAGGCAGAACACTTCCTCATGTCCCACCGCAGCCCGGCTGGGCACGGCGCACGCGGGGAAGGAGCAGAGCCTGGAAAGGCCTCGATCTTCCATCAGTGCATCTGTGCAACGGGAGCTCAGCGCCCGGGGCACACCTGGCGGCCCCGCGGGAAGGAGAGAGAGCCGCGTCCAGGCGCTGGCGTCCTCCCGCACGTGCAGGGAAACTGAGGGAGGGGGAGCTCTGAGGGCAGCGCGGGGCTCCCGCAGCACTAACGCGGACTGCGCCCCAAGAAAGCACACCCTCTGGGCAGGAGAAACGAAATCTGAATTTAAGGGGCGTCAGGCACATCCTGGGGTGGGTCACGGGCCCGCCGCAGCCCAGGGGCTCCCCGAGGTGCCTCCCGCTCTCCGGGGTCGCAGGGCGCGCAGCATGACCGCCCTGCCAGGAGCCGGCGGCCACGCTCCACACGCTCCGCGCTCGGCGCCTCGAAGCCCCAGGAGGCGCGCCCTTCCCACCAGGGCCACCACACCCCATGCCAGATTCCGGGCCTTTCCACTGCCCTTTGGGGGCCGGCGCAGCCGACAGGAAGCCTGTGGAACTGACCGCCCTGCTTTATTTAGAAGTCCCAGAGCCGCGGAGGCTCAGCCGGGCCGTTCGCTGCCACCTCCAGTGACCGGGGTTCCCGTGAAGATCTCGATTTTCAAATAAACCCGCCCTAAGGAACAGACGAGGGGCACCCCCAAGTGACAGAAACACAACAGCAAAGGACCTGGCCAGAAGAGGTCACGGGAGGCAGAAGCCAGCCAGGCCTGCCCGGGACCCCTGTCCCTAGAGCTCCTAACGGGGTTTCAGCCCGCAGGCCACGGGGTCTTCCCGCGCACAATTCTGAGTCCTCAGGACCCAGATCCCGGGAGCTGGCCCCGCTCAGCCGCGCCCTCTACTCCCGCTCCGGACAGGACAAAACGGTAACCAGGGCACGGCCTGACCAGCAGCACCCAGAGAGCTGAATGCGCGCATCGCACACGTTCACACACACATGGCCTACCAAACACGCACGTGTGTATGCAGCTTTCTGGTGGACAAATGGAGAACTCGCTTCGAAAGCCCTCCCCAAACACCTGACGAGCCTACACCCCAGCTCCAGAGCCCGCACTGGACCCCATGTGCTGGCACGGAGCATGGCCTGGGGCGGGGGGGGGGGAGGGGTTCCCAACGGGGGCGACCCTGCCTCCAGGGCACCCCGGGCATTTGCTGCTGTGCTCTATGCCACAGACCTTCACCTTGGACCCGCAGGCCCACCCCTTCGTTTTCCCATCTGCCCCCCATGCCTAGCACGTCACGGCCTCGGGGACGGGTGCATGACCCCCCACGGTGCAGGCTGGCAGGGGGACGGCTGGGTGCCTCTCCAGGGTCACGGGGCGGCAGAGGTGTGGGGCTGTAAACAGGCACCACCCCCGCCCACAGGCAGGCACCAACACTTTCAGCAGGTGGCCCCGCTGGGTCCCCCAATCCAGGGACACTGGAGACGCACACCAAGGCTGCAGAAGCGTGAGCTGCTGACCTGCCCCCTCGAACCCCACTCAGCCCAAAGCCTGCGTGCTCAGGACAGGTGGCGGGAGCACCTGGAGGCTCACACAGCCCCCAGGCAAAGGCCAACTGGTGGTACCCTTACGAGGCCGAGAACTTCCGAAGCCCCCTCCCATGATAAAGTCTGTGTCACACTGGGAAAGCCAGCCAGAGCCATGCTGTCCCCCTAAAGACCCCTCGGCCCCACTGCAAGTCTCCCCCAAACG